GTCCCTTGGTGACCTCATATACAGTGGAGGGCTAGTAACTCTGCATTGTATATGGGCGCTGAGTGTTTGACAGCTGCGTGAGGCGTACCATAGAGAGGAGAATTCATGGGAGTCTGCTGGAGTGAGGAGTAATGAAAGTATTACTTCTTAACCCTGAACCCAAACACTTAACAAGCAGTTTACCCTTGCAGTGTTTTTTCTGTTTTTGTTTTTTTGAGTTGGGCTTTAGAAGAACTCCAGGCATGTACAAAATGAGCCCTTGCAGTGGGGCTACCCCCTGGTTAAGTGCTCACTTTGGTCTAGGGTCTAAAATAAAAAAAGAATAGAGTCACCCGATCCTTCTTCATGCCTGGTTGGTAGACCGATCCCCACAGCCTCTTCTCCCCTGGGCTCAGGCGGTCTAAGTTCTGCTGACATCATCACATCTTATGCAGGTCCCTTGACCTGCATTGGATGTGAGGCTGCCCAGGGACATTCCACATTCAGAGTGGAGTGGGAGAGAGGTAAGTGCAGACTGCCACAGAACCGAGCATCAGGTGAGTAAAACTGCTTTATTGGTGTCCCCTAGACAAAACGAGCACTTAGGCCTGGTTCACACCTGTACGTTTTGTAGCACGTTCAACGCTCTACGAACGCTCTACAAAACGCTCAAACATGAAAATCCCATTGTTTTCTATCGGTATAGTTAACACCTTGCCGTACCGCAAATCGCGGCAGAAACGCGTGTCACGAAACGCGAGACAAACGCGCATATTCGGTACACCTAGGTGTGAACAGAGCCTTAGGCTACACCTAGGCGTATCGAATATGCGCGTTTGTCGCGCGTTTCCGAGGGCTACTTGGCTGTATCCCAATGGAAACGTGCGACAAAAGCGCCGCAAAGAAGCTCATGTACCTTTTCAGTCGTAGGCCGTTTTGTAGCGCGTTCAGACGGGCTGAAATACGGCAAGGTGTGAACCATACCCATAGAAAACAATGGGATTTTCATGTTTGAGCGTTTTGTAGAGCGTTCGTAGAGCGTTGAACGCGTTACAAAACGTACAGGTGTGAACCAGGCCTTAAACCTTGCAGTGCGGGGACTTTCCCACTGCAAGGGTAAATTTCTGATTTTTCTGGAGTTCTTCTTTAAATACCCAATCAAGTGCACATGCTTTTCACACAACTGGACAATTGAAGTGAGTTTTCACACAAATTTATCAGTGAAAATTGTAGTAAATCAGCCTGCCATGGTGTCCTCTAGTGGAAAGGAGTTAATTTGCAGATCTATCAGGAAACATTTATATGTGATGATAGAGATGTAAGGCGAGGTTCACACCTGGGGGATCCATGACCGTGCGGCAAAACCATGCGGATTGCCGGGTGGTCACGGAGTCGCCCACTACCGCCGATCACACTGGCGGTGCCATTATTTCCTAATGGAACCTGAGTCGCGCTGGGCGGCAGGCGATTCTGTCTGTGCAATTTAATACAATTGCAGCTAAAAAGGCCGCGCGTCGCGTCTGTCAAAAAAAGATACATGTACCTTTTTTCTGTGATTGCCGCGCGGATGTAACCCCATTGAAATCAATGGGGCCGTTCGGCCACCACTGTGTACACTAGCACACGATCGCGCGTCCCGGGTATTGCTCAGATCTGAGCCTAGCCTCAGGGCTAGTTCACACCAAGCGCGGAGCAGGTGCAGAGCAGATCAGTTGCAGACCTGATCAAAACTGCGTCCAATGTATTCCAATGGTATTTTTTGCTCCAGTTCACATCGCAGCGTGCAGGTCCAGAGCAGGTGAAAAAACTGCAGCAGGCCCTATTTTATCTGCTCTGGATCTGCAAGTGCATCAAAAAACGCATGCAAATGCCTGGAACGCACTGAAAGCCCATTTTAAACATAATTTGTAAAAAAAAATTAGTCAAAAGCGCGTCAAACGCGTCTAAAAGACTAGCGTGCGTGTGCAGAAACCTGACCGGATCTGCTCTGCATTTGGTGTGAACAAAGCCTAAACATGACTGTTATTTTATAAATGGAAAATGTTTTGCCTTTCTTAGGAGAAATAATGATCCTTCTAGAGTGACACAGAAAATGTTTGTCACAGTCCATGTAATCATCTAAATATTAGTTTTCCTGATGTGGTGGAGGTTTAATCTTTGAACTTCTTCAGATCTGTTAAATAAAAGCCAGACCCACACTTGTTTGTACCTTCTATATTACACTAGACAGCGCAGATATTGTTTACGGTTTTACTGTTGTAAAGATTCTAACGATCAGCTTAAAACTTCAGTTTGGACATTTTATACTGGTATGAAAAAGTCTGTATTTTAAATAACTAGCTTCCACCAGTTCCTAATGATGATGATGATATTCTACTGAATTTTACTATGTATGGGTTATCTTCAGAAATGCGCCCTGTGTTGATGTAGGAATGGGTCCTAATACTAACCCTTTATCATGTGAACTTAACCCCTTGTTTCCATACCACACAAAATAGATACATGCAGAGTGCTTAAAAACCTCTAATTCAAACCTCATCATTCTATAAGTAGCGTGAAACCCATCAGAGGTTTTTTGGATGTATCCAGTTGAAGTTAAAAAAATAATTTATATAATGAAGGCCGATTTCCATGTGGATTTTGTAGAGGACAAGCGCGGACCCGCCTGGAGTGGTGACCAGCTATTTTATATCCCTTATTTCTATACTTGCCTCTTCTTCCCTGTACAAAACAACATACCATCACAGAAGTCTCAGTGCCGGAACCTACTGATTTGTTTGTGGCAAAGAAGACAGATCTCCATGCAAATATTCCGGTCTATCTTTAGTCACTGTTTCCCTGAGATAGGGCCAGTGCCTGTAATTTGTGCTCAGTGTATAATCATGCCAAAAACAGATCATGCATGTTAATGGAAAGATCTTAGCAAAATCTGTCCTAGGTAAGCTATTCCCATGTCCATCTTATGCCTGAAGGTAGCCTCATACATTTTGGGACAAGTAGGAATGCTTTGCTATATTGATGATGTATGGTGGATATATATGCTTTATTGTATTATCCCTTTATCTTATCAGGTATCCCAGGGGTGCTGCTCATAGATATTCGCATGGACTCAGCAGTGTATGGCATTGTAGGAGAGTCAGTCAAGTTATGGTGTGGCTTCTACTCAACAGTTCCTGCCTCTAAATTTGTAGCTGTGGACTGGAGATACCGCCCAGCGGATGGAGGCCCTGCTGTTACAGTGAGTTATGTAATTAAAAAAACAGGAAATCTATATTTAGATATGTAAAGATGGCTATTAATAGAAGATGGTAGCTTAATCTTGTACATAGCATTACTTTGTAATTGTGGTACAGGCACTGCTGGGGCTCTTTATGTTTTTATTCATTTGCTTTAATTGGCAGTGTAAGTTAAAGAAATGTGTTTTATAGAAATGTGGGATCTTCATCTGCTCATTTGTTGTTTAAAATGTAAGGTTCTAGGACTCTCTTCCTGATCCTGACTTCACCCGTTGGCATATCACTGGCTTGGAACTATTATGCAGTAGGGATGGACCAATACTAGTATCCTCGTCACTTGTGACGGGAGAGCATGGAGCCGGCTTCCCAGCCAATCAGGAACCCGGGCAGCGTGTAATGACGCGCTGCCCGGCTTCCTGATTAGTCGGGAAGCTGGCCAATCAGAAAGCCGGACGCCATGTAATGACGCGGAGCCTGGCTTTCTGATTGGCCGGGAAGCCGGCTTCATGATCCCTCGTCACCTCATGACCACATAGTGACGAGAAGCATGAAGACGGCTTCTTTGCTGATCGGGAAGCCGGGTGGCAAATCTTTACATGCTTCCCGGCTAATCAGGAAGCCAGGTGGCGAGTCATTACACGCAGCTTTGCTTCCTGAATGGGACTTCCCGTACTCGGTATTCAGTATCGGCGAGTACCGGAAAAAAAAATATCGGTACCGAAATACCGGTATGGGTGCATCCCTAGTATGCAGGATGGGTGTTCAGACTTTTCCCACTTCACTGGCTGCTTGCTTGTTCCAGATCAGGAACTCATTAGATAATGAAGCCAGATTGGGGGGAGGCGGGGGCTAATGTATATTTGTGCTTGCAAGTCGATTTTAAGAGGAAGCTTGTACTGAGGGAGATACAATGCTAGTTGCTTGGCTTTCATGTGCTGATCAGCTGCCTTAAAATTTAATTAGTTCTAAGTAATTGCATCAAGTCAGTGACTCAAAAGGTGTGACAGGCACCTAGGTTACTACCATTTTCAAAAGAATGGGTCTGCAATTACAGACCACATATTTCTCTAGTACAGGTTTCCTGCTGTGCTCTGGAGGGTCATAATGTGGTAGAAATGAATGAACAGCATATTGGCACATTATGGCCGCCTCAACTTGCAGACTGCTCTCCCCTCCGGCGGTGCAATCTTCACCCATTCTTCTTCGGGGTTCAGTGTCTTCGGCTTCTTGATTGGCAAAAGGGATGTACACCGTGCCTTCTGCTATAAAAAAACAAAAACTGCCTGTCAGAAATCAGCATTTTTTTGTAAAGACACTATTTCCACTTTAATTACTTCTCAAGACTAACTAAATGTTGTTTCTCTCAAAATGCAAATGCATGGTAACATGCCAGGGCAACTTTTAGATCCAGTTAGATTTTCCTAGCACTGCTGAGCATATGTGCTTGTACTGTAGAGGAATGAGGGAGTTTTAATGATCTGGTTGTTTTTTGTACAGCCAGTCATAGAAAAATACTTGCCTCTCCTGCTGCCAGATCTGTCAGATATTGTTCTGCTACAGACAAATCACTGGCCTGAGTTTCTTCTAAAGCCATCTCTTCAAGGAGCTTGTGCACACTGGTTCCTCCTGCCAGCTCCCATGTCATTACAGCGATATTGAGATTGAGGTTGACACTAGTGAAAGTGTTCATTTTTGTGAAAGCTTCAGCCAGGGATTTCTCGTAAGAGGAGCACTGTTTGGCAGAAGATTCACCCCACTTTTACATGCTTTCCCCTATGTGTGAAGTGGTGGTGCAGCTCTTTGTAGCAGACTCAACACACGTAAGCTGGGTTCACGCTGTTGCGCTACATTTGCGCAAAAGTAGATAAGTGCGCGTTATGCCACGTGTTAACATGCGTTGTACTAAGCATCCAAACACACCGAAAAGATACATGCAATATTACCATCAGCGCATGTAACGCTATGCTGTAACTCAGGTGCATTGAAGTGCCATTAAGAATGAATAGGATAGCACCATATCACACCAACACATGTAATGGCGCATAATGATAAATATGAGGGCATGCTTTCTCCTGCCAGAAGCAGGCTGAAAGCCTCTTTCTACAGTACTATGTTCCCTTTGGGAAAACTGTCTAGGTATTCACTGGCTAGAGCTCAAAGACCACTTTTTTTAAAATAAAATATTAAAATGTATTTTTTTAAAGCAGATGTAAACCCCCACCTGAATGGCATGACATTGTTTGCTAAAGCACTGTGTATCATAAACGATTCCCATTTTTAATTACTTGTTTTTACAGGTTTTTTTTTTTAGCCTTTGTTGCACCTTTAGTGTTTCTGATCACCTGCAGCCCCTTTGCATCACTTCCCGTCTACATACATGCCCTCCAGAGATAGCTTCATGGCATTCCTCAGAGTGGGTTTCCTGCTGGTTACAACAAAGGGCCATGCCTGCGTATTGTTTGTTGAAACTGCCACTTGTAGTCTTCTTCACAAGCCTGTGTTGCAGAGTGACATTGAAGGTGTATAACTGGGAGACAGTGTCAGAGTGTTGTCCCCCAATAACCGGTTTTATTTTACTGAAAGCTGCAGATCTCATTTGTTTTCTTAAATTAGATGAATACTTTATATGAGATTCTCTGAGATATTAGTCACTGGGTTTACAGATTCATTGTGACATGGCAGGAACTTTTTCATAGAGACTTGTAAAGTAAATGAGAGGTCCACGGTAAATAGAATTCCAGCAAGTCAAACATTCAGTTAGCTACTAAGTGCACTCCAGTAAATGTTATGTCAGATATACAAAGAGTCCACTGTGACAGAAATTCTTCTGAAGTGTCATACAATACTTCCTACATTTCAGTGCACTGCATTCCTAACAATGACCATCTCAGTGGTGCTTCTAACGTTGCTACCTTTCCTGGGAAAAAATCCCAGCGTTCTGATTGCTTTCCTATTATTAATATTGGCAACAAGCCCTAGACCAGGTCAGTAAATTTCCAGCCTGACCCCAAGTGCTTCACTTGTTGGCACATTAAAATATAGAGTAATACTTCATAAATATATTATGTTGCTGTAAATATTCCTCTGCTGCAATCCTTAGAGTCAACGTTTCTGATTTACATTAAGCCTGTCAATTTTTCAAGCAGACCCGATTGGATGCCCAATGTAAGTCTATGGGCAGCCTCGTGTAAAAGGACGGGCGTCTGTTTACACCCATTTACCCCGCATCCGGCCAGGACCAAAGAAGCAAGCAGAACAGAGATTCGTTTCACCAACCTGATTGTGCCGGATTGAGGCACTGGGTAATCTGATGTAAATGGACACATGTCCGATATATCCGATTGCACATACGGTAGACTGACATGGGGTCTTTCTGTTGATGCAGGATAAAACTGTGTGCACATGGATGTCAAAGCGGTGACATCCGCTCCGTACTGCTCTCATCAGCAGAGGATCCATGCACTGATCCTCTCCATCAGCCTGTGTGAAAGGTGCCTAGTAATGAAAATGTCTCTAAACCACAATGCAAAAATAAAATAATATTCCGAACCTTAAATGTTATTTATCTTTGCCTCTTATAATGTCATCGTCAGACAGCACTTACTTAAAGATAGGTTTTCAATCTGCTGAGTTCCCTTATTGAAGGTGAATATGTTCACTTCACTGGGCCCCACTGTATGTGGTAAGTTAGCCACCTTCCTATGCTCACTCCTGATTACAGGATTATAGAAATATGTACTGATGCTTCCAGCTCCGGCACCTATTAACACAGACAAATGTCCATAGGTGTTTTCATGATCTTGATCATTCCCCCTTTACTATTTGTCAGTAATGATATCTGGCACAGTGATGCGTCAAAGGCGAAAGGGGATGAAGTAGGTGTCAACCACAAGAGCTTGTCAAAATGTGTATAATAGATTGCCCTTGGTTTGGGGGTTCCTGAAGGACTCTAGAAGAAAGATAAAATAAACTTGCAGGAGATGGGGGCTAGAAGTTTCTTTCCTAAAGCTTAAAGGTTTTCTTAAAGGAGAACTATGAGGTGAGTGATTTCCACTCATCCTCCTAGTTAGAGCCGACCTGTGCCAAAGAAGCTGCCACAGGTTGGCTCTATCGATCTGGAAGTGAACGAACACATACCGTCGCTCGCTCACTTTCCAATCATCTCCCTGCAGAGAGCGGTGACTGACAGTCACCGCTCCCCGCAGGTATTCCCTCCCCCCCCTCCGATCCTCCAGCGCTGACTGAAAGAATGGGCAGGGGAGGGGCAGGCACAGCTGGCTCTGCCTCTAGACACAGCTGAATGGATCTCAACAGCATTGTCAGGATCCGTCCCGGCTGCTGAGCTCTCAGTATATCGTGTGCAATAGCCCGCGATATACTGAGCTTTGGGTCATAGGAGGACGTTGGTATATGTCCTTCCGTCCTTCCGTGACCCTAAAGAGAACTATGGGGAAAAACATTTACCCCATAGTTCTATTTTAACTTCAGATTAATATATAATCAATCCCCTAATTTGACATTCATTGTATCAATACTAGAGCCAGCAACACTGGTTTAATTGTAGTCATTTATATTTGTTGCCCATGCCTATGAAGTGCATTCCATAGGGCTGTTTTAAAAGAACAGCTATTGCATTTGTTTTATTTCTTTTTGTCTCCTTGTTGAAGTGTTGACCTTAGCATGAGGAAAATGGCTTTCATAAAACTGTCCCTGTCCTTCTAGTTTGTACTTGTTTTATATATTTTTCTTTTGGACATCTAATGTACGTTTGTTCTCCATGGTCCCTGTGTGTGTTGCAAAGTAGACACCACTCCAAGCTCGGTCCTGTGATGGACTACAATCTCAATACAAATTGGTAAACTATATGTGAGATTTTAGTCCATCACAGGAGCAAGCATGGAACGGGGCTACTTTACAACACACCGGGACCATGGGGAACAAAAGTAGCCACCCTCCAGAAGGAAGGATAGTGTCGGCACCAATTCAGAGATGATTTGAGCATCTACAGCCGAGTGATACACAAATAAGATACATTTCTGTTAATAGAGTTTTTGAATGCATTTTAAAGATTGCAAAAATGCAGAGTTTAGTGTCACTTTAATGCCCAACTTCAACCAAAACTCTTTTTTTTTTTGTTTTGGATAGAGTATCAATAGTAGAGTTGGGAAAAAGTAATAATAACCTGAGTTCCCAACACTTATCCATTTGATTAAAAAAATAAAAAATAAAATAAAGTGCTTTGTTGTAGTCCCAACTGTAGAGATTTCTTATCCTGTCACATCCTGACAGAAAGTAGCGGTAAAGCTTCCCAATGGGGACACATACCACAATAACGACCTGACAGAGGTTTTATGCCTTCCATATTCTATCCAAAACGTTAAACAAATTGGGCTATTAAAAGGTTTTGCATTGAAGAAAAAAAGCTCTTCTAACTGTAAACCTTTACATGCCTGGGGAAACCAATCTTTCAGTTTGGTGGCCACCGCTGTTTCTAAAGTTTGGGGATTAACAGTCTGACATGAAACACTGATTGAAACAGATTATTGGCAGTTAGGATGTAAGGGGTGAAATAATTAAAGAGAGCAATAAGAATATCTAAAAAAAAAACTGGCCTTATGTGCCAAACTGAAAAACAGAATTTGCAAAATGGTTCAATCAAGTCCAAGTGTAATCATATATGTAGTTACTGTATTATTATGATTCAGGATTTATGTAGCACCAACAGTTTGTGCAGTGTTTTACAATATAAAGAGGACATTAGTTACAATAAAAATCAAGACAAGATGGTAAGGAGTGCCCTGCCCATGACTGGACAACTCTAGCATTGTAGGCTATTGTACATTAGTAGACTTCCCACGTTCTTTCAGAAGATCTCTGCTTAGTGAACGGAGTTCCTGGTGAGCCTTGGCAGGCAACACTGCTGTAGATTGACTCCAGAATTAGGGGGTTGGATTGGATTGCACAGGTCAAGGGGCATGTTGTTTGATGTGCTCTTGTCACATACACTTAGAGGTAAATGTAACAAGCACTTGGTTGGACCAGATAGTAAATTAGAGTCTGTTGTATTATCTGACACATTCTCAGGGAAGCACAATTCTTCCTCCGGGATATAATATACACTATATTGCCAAAAGTATTGGGGCACCTGCCTTTACACGCACATGAACTCTAATGGCATCCCAGTCTTAGTCCATAGGATTCAGTATTGAGTTGGCCCACCGTTTGCTGCAATAACAGCTTCAACTCTTCTGGGAAGGCTGTCCACAAGGTTTAGGAGTGTGTCTATGGGAATGTTTGACCATTCTTCCAGAAGCGGATTTGTGAGGTCCGGTACTAATGTTGGACGAGAAGGCCTGGCTCGCAGTCTCTGCTCTAATTAATTCATCCCAAACATGTTCTTTCGGGTTGAGGTCAGGACTCTGTGCAGGCCAGTCAAGTTCCTCCACACCAAACTTGCTCATCCATGTCTTTATGGACCTTGCTTTGTGCACTGGTGCACAGTCATGTTGGAACAGGAAGGGGCCACCCCCAAACTGTTCCCACACAGTTGGGAGCAGGAAATTGTCCAAAATGTTTTGGCATGCTGATGCCTTAAGAGTTCCCTTCAATGTAACTAAGGGGCCAAGCCCAACCCCTCCACCAAACTTTACACTTGGCACAATGCAGTCAGGCAAGCACCGTTCTCCTGGCAACCGCTAAACCCAGACACATCTATCAGATTGCCAGACAGAGAAGCATGACTCATCACTCCAGGGAACACGTCTGCACTTCTCTAGAGTCCAGTGGCGGCGTGCTTTACACCACTGCATTCAACGCTTTGCAGTGCACTTGGTGATGTAAGGCTTGGATGCAGCTGCTCGGCCATGGAAACCCATTCCATGAAGCTCTCTACACACTGTTGTTGTGCCAATCTGAAGGCCACACAAAGTTTTGAGGTCTGTAGCTATTGACTCTGCAGACAGTTGGCGACTTCTGGGCACTTCAGCATGAGCTGACCCCGCTCTGTCATTTTACGTGGCTTATCACTTTGGCTTAGTTGTTTTTGTTCCCAGTTGCTTCCAATTTATAATACCATTTAACAGTTGAACGTGGAATATTTAGTAGCAAGATAATTTCTCGGAACACCTGCATCCAATTATTTGGAGGGGTGTCCCAATACTTTTGGTAATATAGTGTATATGTAAACCCATAAGGAAAAACTTTTACAAGAGAGCATCCATTCCTCAGAATGGGAACAACATTATAAGTAAACAAATACAAAAACAAGCAGCTGCTTTACAACCATATTATTGTTCTTAATATTTATAACATTTTGCTACAAATAACTTCTATTAACTCAATTAACTTGTATAAATAAACATCACATTCCATGCCATAATATTTTAAAATATATATAAATAGTATATGTGTACACAAGTAAAATAAATGCAATACAATTGTGCTAGAAATCAATTTGCATACACTGCTATTTACAGTGCTATCTCTTCTACAATCATTCTAATTATTTGTACAGCAAAGCACTTTATTGCCACAAAATGTATCAGGGTCTCCTATAAAGGATAGATAAGATCGCTCACACCATCTAGTGATTGAATAAAAGACTGCAGCGCCACATTAATAGAAGTTTGTATCATTTCACTTAGTCCTAAATCTGCAGATACATAGGGTCCTTAGACTACAAAGCCTTATAAACATCTACTAATTGTTTTGAGGGAGGAACCAGTTGGATGGGCGTTTTGAGGCTAGATGAATCTGTTATAATGTTATATAGTGCTATAGCTTTCCCTAGGGGCATAACTATGAATCTATTTTTGATGGGAGCCCCCGGCTAACTTTTGCTGTAGCAGCTGGCAGTGTCAACAATAATGTCACTGATCTTAGTATAATGTATACCTGAGTCAAGAACAGGCAGCAGGAGAGCTGTCGGCATAGTCAGTAAACTAATAGGGAGCAGTGCTTTGGATAAAAGTTATAGCTGTAGCAGCAGAAATAATAACAATAAAGATATTTTATATTATGACAAATGTATTATGTTCTTGCACATAATTTACTCTATAACCCTAATACAAACTTCTTTAAAATCTAACTTTTTGACAGTCACAGTGTTGGGGGTGCGCATATGTGTGGCAACACTGCATAAGGCTGAACTCTCTGCTGCCACATACAGACAGAAAAAAACGAGTTGAATACACATTGTGCTGCTACAGAGCTGTGTTTTTGAGCAAAATGATTTTCAGTCATATTTATCTCTGAAATAAGCAACACTGGGTAATGAATACTTGTGTTTATAACTTAGTTTTGAAAATGGAAGGTATGTGTGATGGTGGGGCTTTAAAGAGGCCCTGTTACTTTGTCCTGAATGTGTTATTGTCTCTGCATTGTTTCAGATTAACTGATCTAAGAGTATAATTTTAGGGCTTGTTCACAGCAATTGCGGTGCGTTCCAGAGTGGTAGCTGCTGGAACGCACTGCAATTGCTCACAAATTTCCCCCCTGCAATCTGGGGCGGGAGGGGGAGTGGCGGTGCATTGAAGTCAATGGCACCGCTTCCACGCCCAACCCCCCCCAAAACTAAAAAAATAGAGCAACAGCATTTTTTGCAGTGGAACAGGCATTGCTTTGCCACACATCCGATCGCACTGCAGGCAGGGGGTGGGGGGGCGGGTGGTGTGTAAGCGTGGCCACTGACTTCAATGAACCGCCACGCCCCCTCCCGCCCCATAACGCAGGGGGAAGTTTTGTGAGCGATTGCGGTGCGTTCCAGCAGCTACCGCTCTGGATTACACCTCAATTGGTGTGAACAAGCCCTTAGGCTGGAGGGGCTTATCTAAAATGTACATTTTGTTGTACCTGTAGTACCATTAAGCCAGTCAGTTTGAAGGCAGGTAACTTCCCCTTTTACTACAATAATGTCTGCCTGTTAAGTCCTAACCATTTCTATACGGAAGGGAGTCTGCACCTCCTCATTAATATTAGGGGTTGTAACAATTACAAAAATAATTATTAAGCAGTCTGTGCAACCATATGTAATCATACCCTTGGTGCTTCAGCAGCATCACAGTCTGATGCAAAATCATTGTCGCACTTGTTTTCGGATCATTTCTATAATAGGAACACACTTTGCCACCTTTTTTCTATTTACTCTGTCTCTTCAAAAGCCTAGCTGTAGACATTAACAAATGCAATAAGAATCAAGCCATGTTTCTGTAATACCAATGAAATCATATTGCTCCTCAAGCACGAAAGCCTAAGACTTTCCCCACATTGCAGCTCAGGTTTGTGATATGTTTGAACATACCAGTAGCACTGAATTTTACAAAATGGTTTATGGTATACTTTTTGTGGAACTGTATTGTTCTTTATAAATTAATACATGTTTTAGATTCCACTGACAAGCTCTTGCATACTATATTATCATTTGTAGATTATGCATTATCAGTCAAAGGCATACCCAATTTTGGATGGACCCTTCAAGGATCGTATAACTTGGGAGGGAGATGTTGGAGGAGGAGATGTCTCCATTCGGCTGGATGACCTGAGGCTTACAGATAACGGCACGCTGTCTTGTGTGGTGAGAAACCCTCCTGATGTCCACGGGAAAGTGCCTGAGATGAAGCTTACAGTCACTCTACAAAGTAAGTTTAAAATCCTAAAGGAAAATGTAAATAATGTTAAACATTTTATGTTCTCTTTTAAGTAATTTGCAAATAAGGAAATGCATGTTTTATGGACCGTGGATGGCTGTCGAGTTCTTAAAAAATTCCCTTTTACATTGCTTTGATTTTGCTAATGAGTCTGTGATTTATAGCTGCGCATAGATATTAGATGACAGTTGTCCTATCCAGTTGTTTTTTGGTTGGTTGGGCAGCAATCTCACATATTTTGAATTGTGCATATGCTCTATCGGCTCGGTTGTGTTTGAGAGGCCAGAAGGTAAAGCCTGCCTCACTTCATCAGTAAAAACTACTGTATCTTAGAATCGGCTACACCTTTTAAATCTGGATTACCTCCAAGTCCAAAAGGAAAAGAGTTCTGTTTTGGCCAGACCTGAATGTGACAGATCAGAGGTAACTGGATGTAAATGGACAACTGTCCGCTTACATGCAATTGCCCATGGACCTACATGGGTCTGTTTAGTTTTCCATCCCCATGTTGACATCTGTTCCATATTGCTCTGATCAGCAGGGGGTATGTGAACAGATCTGTTTGTTTGTTGCAATTGTCCTGTTGCCTCCCCAGACAAAATGATACTGCGGGCAATAAACGGCCTGCGGGCTGGACGTTCCCCACCCCTGCTTTAGGGAAAGGGGAAGCAGCTTCAGTGAGGGACTGTACTGATTGTCATGGAGAATGTGACCTAAATGAAACGTTTTCTACACTTACCCTACCCATTTCTTGGGTAATACTACTTGTGGACAGGGCTTGTTCAATATATAGATATATACTGTATAGGTGGAATGTTACTCTTTTGAGAATATATCTGGATTTCTCTCTTTTGGAGTGACTTTGAACTCCCTAGTGTTACATCAACGGCACAGCTATCATAACATTTAATAATAATAATAAAAAATTAATATCTAGTTCATCTATTGGCTTAATATGCCCTCCTTACCATCTTGTCTGTAATTGTAATGTCTTATATTGTAAAGCGCTGCGCAAACTGTTGGCGCTATATAAATCCTGTATAATAATAATAATAATAATAATATAGGTAGAACTCTTTGTGTCTCTGGCCTTGCTGTGACAGACCATACATTGTTTGCTCCACAGAATATTAATTATAATTTTGGGAAATGTTTTGACTATATGGATATAATCTATATTAACACAAGTGCATGGGTACCCTGGTTAGTAGTGTAAGATTTACTGCAGATTTGTGAATAATAAAGATTGCATTTTGAAGCTAAAATACAATCTTTCCTCTTTGTATTAGTTAAAAAAAAATATTTATGGTGCCGTTATAGTCAGGGAAGGAGGTTTGGGCTTTTTAATGCATTACGATATTTACTGCATGACTCCGGAACCAATATTGAGTGTTGTAGTCTTTGTTGCTGTTTTTAAAGGTAAATGTAATGTTCTAGCTTGGTAATTTATTTACACATGCTGCTTAATATAAATTTTAATTGCATATTACTTTATTTTCTTCAGGTATTTCCTTTAAATTTAATACAGTCCTCTTGCTGTCTGCATTGGTGTTGATACCCTCAGCTTTGGTATCCATAATATTATTGGTAAGGATGAAAAGGGCAATCAAGAGTCAAAGATTCAAGAGCAAAATGTTGAAAAAGTCTCCTATTGAGGCATCGCAAGAGTAAGTGTCACCACAAGGAACAATTTTAAAATTTTACATTCACCATCCTTTCTCTGCAGATACTTGGTAGCCTTGTATATGACCTTTGCATGGGCTATTTATCTTTAGGTCTAAAAGGACTTCAATCCAAACCCCAGAATCAAGCACCCTCCACCTGGAGTCCCGCTGACAGTTTGTTCTGCTTTTTTAATGTTTTTACTTAATTTTTTCTGGGGGGGAAAGGGGGGGGGGTGTCTTCAGGCAGGTCACGTGACGTGCTGGATCCTCAAAGTGTGAGCATTGTTGTTTGGAGTACTGTGCATGGGGCATATCAGTCTGCTGGTGATCAGGACTGTTAAACGTTGCGCGAGAGCAGCAGTCTGGATCTCCAGGTTGTTGCCAGCACAGGGTAGTTGAATATAGGTCTACAACTACTACAAAATATTAAATAAAATGGCAGTTTATTCACTTTATGGGAAAAAATGTTCAGCTTGCATCACAGAAACTTTCATTTTACCTTAATTATAAAAATTTTGACTGATGAGGACCAAGAGCACTTGTATTTTATCCTCCAAACCCTGGTGCTTAACCTGCGCCCGAAGGTCACATGCTGCCCTTTGGTATTTTATAGTTTGGTCCTTGGACCCTAGCAGTCAATATTAGGAGCTTTGATTCATAAAAGAGATGTTATAGCAGTGATCTCTAAACTGAATTATGTAACATTTCCCCGGTCTACAACTGTCTTCTACAACATGACTCCAGTCTCTAACCTCTCCTCTATTACAATCTCTGTCTATTTAATAAGTGTAAAGTCTAAGACAGTCTTCCGTAGCATTTTTTATTTTGAATATCATTGATGTTGTCAAAGGCTTGACCTGTACATCTAGTAAGTTGACAACCACTGCTCTAAAATATATCATTTATTTTTGTAAATTTGAAAATGTTGTTTTTCTTTCTACAGCTGTGTCTATGATGATGGTGTAACTGTTCCCCTTCACCATACTTCTACATCGGGTAAACCACCTGGCTGTCTAATGCGGCTTTGCATGCGATGTGCAGATGTAAGTTTAACCCCTTTGTGAATGGGCCTATCTCATATCTTTGTGACCAGAGTTCATTTTACCATGTTGCAGTGTATAGATTCAACTGGTAATAACCTTTTAACTGCTTTGCGTATTAACACAAATATTACACTGTTATCTGGGAACAGTTTTATCTTGTTTGTTTGCATTAAAAAAGTATATTTTTATTTATTACTTAGGGGTAATACACATAAACATACAAGGATAAATGTAAGATGAACCAATTTAGTTCAATCTCTCCTACAAAAATGAAGTCATTTTGCTGGCCAGATACAGCTCTAAACATATTCTCCTGTTTCAGGGATAGCCTAACATGTACTGCTGTACTGGTCAGTTTGCAACAATCTGACACCATTTGTGCATAAGATCTTGCATGCAAATGAATTTTCTTAGAAGAAAGTGTGTTTTGATTCATCAAATTTCCCATATCTTGAGAAGAGGATATGTGAGAAGAGAATATGTGCAGAAGACTGCAAAGGTTATTTGAATGGTGCCCTTAGCATTATTAAAAGCACAGCTCCCCGCCAAATGAAATTGTTTAATATTTGTTAATACTTTTATGCATTCGTACATGTCCCCCCTGGTAAAACCCAGTTCCCCACGCCCTATGGTTGACAATCCCCTGCCTCTTTTTCTTGAAAATGGCCACAGTTGATTTTAAAGATTTGGCTCTCATTGACTCATTGAATAATTCATAATTTAAGAACCTCCCTTGAACTATGCCTAGTCTCTGATCACTGCCAGCTCATCATATTTCCTATGGTAAATCCATCTCAAATGGCTCCTTTTTTCTGATCTATCTCATAAACCTTGAGAGGTAATAGAAGCCAGAGGGTGGTTTACCAGTGAAAGTCTCTGCTGTAATTTTAGTTATTTGCCTTTTAATACAACATACAAATATGTTAATATAGTGTACAGGTGGTAGAGTCCTCCGATTGATGTGATAAATCCTTTGGTTGGTTAATTGAAAAACATATTTAAAAAACTACAAATAATGCATTGGATTGTAAATGCCACATGTTATTCTTTATAAAATGAAAGTTTACATTTGCCCCGCCTTATGTTTTGTATTCAGGTTTATTCCTTACGTTAAAATATTTCTTCTTTCTTTAAGGAGTCAGATGACTACTGAGATACTGAGGATCTCTATGTGACTGGAAATATAAGGACTATGAAGGTGTTGTACAAAATGGTGCAGAGAAATACTTGAACTTGGATTTACTCGGACTGATCTGATCAATAGTTTTTTTTTTCCTACAACTATTGATCTCAAATATTACAGAGTGAAACTGAACTTTAGTTTTGGACTTAAAATACAGAAGAACATGAAGTAAAGGAAAGCATGTATTTTTTTTACATTTGATAAAATATTAAATATTTAGGTCATTTTTTGTCTCTTGTACAGCTCTGAACAATAATTGATGTACACCAGCTGCACCTATTATGCTTTGTTCTTACTGCTGTGGTAGAAAAGCACCTGGAATAATCTTGCGTCTAAAAAAAGTCTATATTTTTGTAGATTAATTTTGTATGCTGAATTGAAAAGAAGACCACAACAACTAATCAAAGTCTAAAGGATAACCAAACCTAAGAACAGAAATGTGATACATTGCAGCTTTCCAGTGCTTACATGTGGTGACTGCATTAGTTCATTTTTTTTCAGGCTACAAACATTTGTAGCAAGCACAATAAATACCTGTTGATCTTGCCAGAAATGCAACATCCTTGTCACTTGCTGACCTGAGCTGAAAAGGAAGCAAAAAGGTATTTACCTTTTTGTTCTGTAAATTAATACTCCTCAACCCCATGTAATGGAGATGAACAAAGGCAGACATGTTTGAAGTCCCGTCTGGGTGATAACCATGGCTGCCTCCAAAGATAAAGTGGAGGAGTGAACCTAGCCAAACAGAGACAGGAAGTGTGTTATATGCAGGATTACTAGGTAATAATAATGAGAAAGACGGCTAAAAAAAAACAAAACTAATGCATACGCTTCATCCAAGGACTGGTAAGTTGCAATATATTACATTTATGTAAGCCCATATGTAAGCTTTTATACTTCACACTGTGAGATTCTCTTATGCACCAAACACTTTTACAGAGTATATTTTGTATCTTTAGAAAAAATAACAAGTGTTGCGCTTATAACAAAAAATATAAAAACAAAAATCCAATAAAGACAAACAAATTACTATTGTGACAGTAAAATATTCTTACAATGTATATCCTCAAACAATCAGTGTCCAAACAAGTGACATATACACTTCAGTGTCCACAATCCGAACAATATAAACAATGTACCACTGTGTAAAAAATGTCAAGGAACTCCAAACATATGTTCTTATTTAATTGTCTTCCCCCAGTGGATATGGGGTTAATCCCCACACGCATAGCCTTTCACCTTGCAGTCAGAACTGTTCTTAGGTCTTTAAGAATGCTTCTCTTTTTACATTGGATGGGATACCTACACCGCCAAAAAAACTGTAGATGATCTCCCTTCTTCTCCCTGCAATCCTCCACTGCCAATCAGCTCGTATTTCCTTGGTCTTTTATTGGATTTTTGTGTTTCCATTTTTTGTTACAAGTGCAACACTTGTTGTTATTTTATCTCTTGTTTAGAAGGGATATTTTGATCCACTTGTAGTGTTGCAGCTAGTCACATATTGGTGCGGGATTCCTTATTTATATTCTGTACCTTTTTGCTGTTGGGCCCCTTTCAGACGGCCACCTAAAACACTGACTGGCAGTCCTGATCGGATTGGTCAGTGCAAGTCTATGGGCAGCCTTGTGTAAACACACGAGCGTCCGTTTACACCCGCTTACCCCCCTGCTCCAGCTAGGTAAAAAAAAACTGACTTAACAGTGTTCCGTTTCGATGAACCGCATCAGGGGTAATCTGATGTAAACTGACACATGTTTGTTTACATCAGATTCCCCATAGACACACAAGGGATCTGGCAGTTTCAATTTTTTTCTTTATCGCAAGATGGAGAAAAAAATATTGTACGGACACGGATGTCACAGCAGTGACATCTGATCCGTGCCGCTCTGATCAGGAGAAGATCTGTGCACGGATCCTCTCCTGTCAGCCCATGTGAAAGGGGCCTTACTGTCACAGAGCAATATACAGTATTGTAACATTAGATGTATGTGGTAGATGTAATGAATGCATGTGGATAGCTGTTTGGGAGAAAAGGTGTTTATTCCGAAAACCTTTATATGCGAAATGCTATACTATAGCCTCTGCATCACTCTGACAGATCTACAGTGTCTAATGCTAAATTTTAATCTGCCTCCAAAAAGACAATTATCTCCAAAATCATTTTAGGATGTTTATTTTTTTTTTGTGTCAAATGATCAATTTCTTCATGGATTATTCAATTCAGCTGTGTATGGAAATTATTACATACACAGTTACTGATGTTTTTCCGTTAGATCATCTGCGCTCACTAGTACTACTGGTACTCCAAGCACCCCCACTTCAGGATATAGTTTAACCAGTTAAGCTCCAGAGCGATGTTCCCTTTTCAGCTATGAGTCTACTAATTCAGAAATAACCATATTACCTATGATGCTGACATGACCCTTTTCTTTGGCAGTATTGTCTTCCATAAAGTTATTTATTTTGTTTTATATTTTGAAAGCAGAAAAAAGTGTGTTTCCATTATGAAGGCACAAAGTTATTTACAAATCTAGTTTAATTTGCTTTAATAGGCTTTCTTAAATGATGCATATTTTTTTAATGCTTGGGGCCCATTTACACTATGTTGCATTCACACATTTATAATAGTTCCGCTGGGTGGATGCACAGCACTCGGCCATCTGAGCTTGCACATAGCATCTGCCCTCTAGGGGCCCATTGGCTTGCATCTGCCCAACTCTACGTCAAGTGGAATTTTTATAAATGAACCCCATAGTGTTTTCATGCATTTAAGACAGTTAATTTGTTTGATTGGATAGTCAGCATGTTACAAAACAGCCCTCACCATGCATCATAACATGTGGCATGTGCATTGCCTGTTACTGTAATAATGTGTAAAGTTTCCATTGTACTGAACACTACTGCTATGCGAAGATGTGAATGGGCCCTTACACTTAGAAAAATACACAAAAATCAACAAAAATATTCAGCCAAAAAAAAGGAGAGAAGGTGTTGACTTTTTAGGCATAATAATGGGTTAATCAGGGGCTAAATGGGTAAGAGTTATTTATTTGGTTTTTACTTTTAGGTTTGCTACAGGAACCATTGTATAAAAAAGGAAATAGATACAATAGGCTCAAATCACAAAGTTTTCTGGTGCTCTATTTTTAGCCATGTGACTGATATTTTCAAATTTAATTGTCAACATCGAAAAATTGTTGTGGTGTGTTAGCTTTGTGAATCGAGCATAATGCAATTAATTGCTGTTGACCACTTCAGCTATCTACAATGGTATCTATTTTTATTTGTATTTAAAAATTAAACTGACTTTGTAACATCTGTTACAGTAATCAGTACTGAAAAAGTTCTGATAGTTGTTCTGATATCCTGATCAGGACTTGGGATTAGCACAGGTTCAGACCAAACTCAGTCCGAACCCAAGCTCCTCCGAACAAGGGCCATGGGTGCTTTAAACCATTCATCTGTGAGCCAGGCATTCAACGCCCTGCAGGTGCATGTAAACAAAGAGGTGGGATTCTTGTGCTGATTCCATTTACCTCATATAGCCATATTAGGTAAATGTTATTTACCTAATATAGGCAGGTTGCCATATAAGGCCAATGGCAGCACTGCATCCTGCCCCTTTGTTTACGTTAAACTGCAGGCAGGGAATTCCCCACCCACAGCTTATTGGGCAACATGTTAAGAGCTACCTACCATGTTTGGGAGGAGATCCTTCTGGGTTCGGATCATTTTCAGCCTGCACCTGAGGACATCCTGAATCAGGACCTCAGCTGTCAGACTGACAGCATGTCTTATCAGCTGTACATGTGGGAGCGTGTCTAGTGGGGGAACAGCTCTAAGATGTATGAGCTCACATGAAGTACGTCATAGGTCCTTATCTGGTTAAAAGAAGAATTTTTGTGTTATTTATTAGGGCGAAGCTACATGAGCATTTTATGAGAGATGAGAGATTTTACAGACAGTTTCTGCATTAGAGCTACATATGAGATTTTAGTAACTCAATAGTGCTACTTAATGCACCAGCAATAAATCAAGGGTAAAAAATGATTGCTAAACAAATGTAAGTAGCATCTTGTAGTGATTCATTGCACATGATTAGACTATTGTACAGCCTTGACCAGGGGCGTTCCTAGCTTTTTTGCTGCCTCAGGGGGGGAGGGGGGGG